CCCAAGATAGGTCAGGGCCAAACTGATATGGCGGGAGAAGCCAATCCCAAAGTGGGTCCTGGTCTTTGGGGAGCACTTCATACTGAAATTCAAGAATGTGGCACTCAGGGGTTGGAGGGGTGGAGGAAGGAGCAGGTGAGGGGCAAGTGACTTCCTAGGACACCTGTTATCAACAGTTCTCAGGGAAGGGAGGCTAGGGCGATGGGCAGCGATTTGGTGGAAGAGGATAAAGGAAAGTGTGGACGGGAAGGAAGACAGGAAGTGTGGGTAAGACAGGGCTCCAGTGTTTCCCTCACAGCTCTCGGCAGGATGCCGCTTCTGACAGAGCCTTCCTGGGCAGAGACCAGTAGATTCCACTCCCACTCCCACCCGCTTATGGTCTGTGGGTACAGCAGTGTGAGAAGGTGCCTGTCCTGCGTGCTCACAGCTCTCTAGCATGACAGCCAGTGGTTTGGAGCTTTGGAGCCAGGGGATCCTTTATATTCAAATCTGAGTGATGCTAGCTCCTCTCTGTATTCTGTGTCCTTGGGCAGGTTTAACCTGTCTGATTCCTAGTTTTCCCATTGGTCAAATAGAGATAGCAGTATATACCTGGAGGTTGTTGTGAGGTGTCAGTTAGATGTGCTGAGTGTCATGCATCTAATACAGAATCTGGAACGTACCAGAAGTTCAGTAAATAGTATGACTGTTACCTTCATATATTCCCCTGCCTATCTTTAACACAGTGGAGTAATGAAACTTTGTTTACTGTGGACATCAATAAGTATCACTAACAATATGTATTTGCACACATAGTAACCTATGGATGTATACTCAACATGAGCGCACGCGCGCGCGCACACACACACACATCTCTCTCTCTCTCTCTCTCTCTCTCTCTCTCTCTCTCTCTCTCTCTCTCTCTCTCTCTCACGAGGAACTGCTTGTTCTCCAAAGTACAGGTCACTTGTAGCTATCAACATATTTTGACAAGACTTGAGTGCCGAGAATTATCTGGAATGGAACCTGTCACCTGGCATTGCCAATATCCCCACAGAATGTCAGGCCAGATGGGTAAACTACAGCCCCTAGATGGGCAGGAGAGACTACGAGGCCCTTAGACTCACTGGAGGCTCCTCCTTCAGCCTCCTCCTCCAGCTCCCATCATGCTCATTTGCATGAGCCTTTGTCTTGGCCCATCTTCTGCTTGCCTTGCTGTGATTCTGAGCTTAAGAGCCTCAGGAGACCAGAACCCTCATTTCGCCTTTGCTTATCTCTCTAAAAAGCCCAGTGCAGACAGCAGAGGCAAGCAGAGGGACATGCAATTACCTGGTGAATTCAGGCAAATAAACAATTTACTGACTCTGGTCTGCTAAACCCCTTTCATGTGTCTTCGGAGGATGTGAAGCGGGCCATTCAGAGCACATCTTCAGGGGCTGGCTGGCCATTAACCTCAATTTCCAACCACTCAAATCTGCCCTGCCCTCCCAAAGTTAGGATCTCTCTGAGGGTCATTACTCTAGGGCAAATGCTTAATTGCCCCCAACTCTGCCTCCACTGGGGCAGTGAGTGCTTCAGGGACCAAACAGACCACTCAGCAACCCCATCCTGGGGTTCTACATACTGAGGCCCTGAGCCCTCGGTGGTGCTTCCCAGAGCCTCCAGGAGTGTGAATTCTGGGGTATGGGTGGGGGGCTTTTAGGGGCAGTTGCTCTGGCTGCTAAAAATCAGGTTTGCTGTTCTCTTCCCCTTGCTTTCTTCCTATATACCTCTTTTAACCCTCTCAGTGGGCAAAACACAGTCCCCTGTAGGCTGTGCCTAATTGAGGGATGTTAAACCTTCTCACGCCTGGAAGTCAGCCTCTTTCTAAGCGTCCACTGGGACGAAGCCAGTGCAGGAGCTAAATATAGAAAGGGCTCCCTCCTCCCCCAGTCTCCCTTGTCCTCATGGGCACTGGCACAGGCAAGAATCAATGCTGTGTTTGGCGGTGGCAGGCTGCATGACAGCCACTCCTGCTTAGAGACCCTTATCTGCACCTGCCGCTGCTGATTGGCTCTGATAGACCCTGACATACTAAGGACAGGAAGTCACCATGGCGACCTTGCAAAACAGAGTGAGGGAGAATACAGAGGCTTGGCTAAGTGTGAGGCTGACTCAGGACACATTGAGCTACCAACCTCACAGGCTCCTAGCTAGACAATCAGGGGTCCTGTCTCTCTACCCTAGCCATAACAAGCCACGCAATAGTGTGGCTTAGGGGTGGCCTTGCTGGCAACTATGGGGGAAGCTATGTTATTCATGCCGGAAGTCCATGGCATTCTCAGGGTTCCTCTGTGTGCCTCCCCACAACTCCAAGAATGGATGAATCAGTCCCTGCTCATCAGAGCCTTTCATGCTAAACCAGCCCAAATGACTGATTTAGAAACTGCGTGGTCTTGTTCTTTGAGTGGATTTCTGAGGCACACTCCAAGACAGGCCCAGGCCTTCATTATCTCCACACTCACCCTTTGATTAAGCATCTGTGACCACACAGTGCTGTGTGCTGGATACTGTACCCAAATGAAGAGGCCAGAGCAGAATTCCTTGATGGAAGACACAAACCCAAAACATTCAGGCAGTGGGCAAAACAGAGAAACCATTTGTACCAACACCTCAGCCATCATCACAACCCTGTGAGTAACGGCTATGATCCTAACCTAAATATTAGTGCAGAAGGGGACAGTACCCTTTCAAAGGACCCCAGTGACAGAAAGATGTTGCCTTTTCTAGCCCCAGTGCTGGACAATGAACACATACATGCAGCGTCTGAATCATGTGAGGATTCTTAATACAGATTCTGGGGCTTCACTGTGACCCAGAGATCTGATTCAGTGGATTGAGGTAACTGCTCTATCAGTCCTCAGGTGACTATCGTATACAACCCTCCTTGGGGGTAACTCCTGAAACTTCCATTGTTCTGGCGGTAGAGGGGTCTCCTCTCAGCAGGCCTCTGGGCTTCCCGGTTTGTTCAAAGGAGCAATAAGACTGAGCCCCATCCGGCCCTGCCCTGTCCCCCTGAGAAGCAGAATCATGCCATCCCTTGGGATGGAGTGCAGGTTTGGAAGGTTTGTTTGGTAGCAGGATGGCCAGTTGAGGTCTGCCTGGGAAAGACCCTTGTCTAAGGAAAGATGGCAGAGCTGGGGGTTATCCTGGGGGAATTTTCATGTGCAGTGTTTGCAGTTGAGATGGACAGCTCTAGCAACAGGAGCTAGTTGTTACCCATCACTACCCAGGTGGGGAAGCAGGGGGATCATCCAGGTCCTCTTTATTGTTCTGTGTTCTTGGGACTGTAAGTTCAAGAGGAGCCACAGAGCCATGTACTCAAATAGTATGCAAGGCTTGGGGACGATGCTCAGTAATCTTCCCTAGACCCTCAAGTCTGAAGAAGAGCTAGCAGGCTATGAAAGGGTGTGGAGACGGACTTCCTGATTTAAGGTGAATGTGGGGCACAGAGCATCTCCATCAAGCCTTCAGATTCCCAGCTTGTAGAATCGGCATCTGTGACTGTGGGTACATTTTCCTACTAGTGACGGTGCATCTTACCTGGCAATACCCGGCTTACGTTCTGGAGCCCATTTAAATTAGAACATGGGGGCTAAGGAGATGGCTCTGTCAGTCAAGTCCTGGCCTTTTAAGCAGGAAGACCTGAGTCCCATCCACAGAATCCACTTTAAAAAGTCAGACATGGAGGCACAGCAAGGCAGGGACAGGTTGATCTCTGGGGTACTCTGGCTGGTCAGCCTGGTCTACACCGCAAGCTCCAGGCCAGTGAGAAACCCTGCCTCAGGAAAAAAAAATGTGGACAACGCAAGAGAAAGAACACTGGAGATTGATCTATAACCTCCACCTGCATGCACTGACATCTAAACACTCCTATGTACATACATCATATAGGTATATATATATATGTATGTAAATATTTGTATGTACATAATGATGATAATAATAATAAGTGATAATGCAACAATTGTCCAGACACCAGACCCTTAAACTGGCATGTGAATCTATATGAGAGTCTCATAACTTAATGTGTGAAAACTTGGTAACAGTAAAAAGTTTCTGAACAAGCAATGCCCCCAAATTGTTTCCAAATTAAATTTGTAACAGATCTGAGATGGTTCTGGCAGCACCTGCCAATGTGGCATTGTATGGCTTCATTGTGGTCTTGGTTCTGAACACAACTGCATATTGTCACACCATGCAGCACCTTCTAAAAAAACCTCAGTTCAGATTTAAGACTACGGCATGTTATGACTGGCAGTGCTTTTATGACACATACGTAGTTGTGTGCTCTTAAAGAAAGGTAATGGCTTACTTACAGAAAATAAAAACTTTTGATGCTTTTTTTATTGTCATTCCTCAGAGTGCACATTTGAAATTACTATGCTTTTGGATTGCATTGTGTTAGAACGTTTGATTCTAAAGATTGCTGCTTAATGGACCAGTAAAGGTGCTTTTCATACATAACTGGTGACCTGAGTTCAATTCCTGGAATCCATGTAAAGGTGGATAGAGAGAAATGATTCCAGAGAGCTATCTTCTGATTCCATGCACACAGTGTGGTATGCATGCCTACACATACAAAACACACACACACACACACACACACACACACACACTCCAAAAAACGGTAAATGATTTAATGATTTTACACTGACATGTGCCAATAATAATACATTTAAGAATTTAAAAACTTGAGTTGCTGACTTGAGTTTCATAAAACTCAATTTTGGAGCCGGGTGTTGATGGCGCATGCCTTTAATCTCAGTACTCAGGAGACAGAGGCAGGCGGATCTCTGTGAGTTTGGGGCCAGCCTGGTCTACAGAGCGAGTTCCAGGACAGCCTCCAAAACAACACAGAGAAACCCTGTCTCAAAAACCAAAAACAAACAAACAAAAACTCTATTTTGGCTTGAGATTCGGATAGAATTCCCAACAATTTCTGTAACAGTTCTAAACATACTTTTGTATTACATATTTAGGTGAACAAATTCTCAATGCTGATAATTATAGGATCAAGATACCCAGGGCTGGAGATGGTCAAGCGTTCAAGAGTTCATACTGTTCTTGCACGGTTCCTGAGTCTGATTCCCAGCATCCATGCCAGGAGTTTCACAACTGCCTGGAAATCCAGCTCCATGGGATCTGACACCCTCTTCTGACCTCCTGAGGGTACTGCATTCACGTGCACAAACCCATACAAAGATATACACATAATTAAAAAACAGAATAAAAGTATCTACCAATCCAAAAACCACTGAAGACTCTGTGCCCTTCAGTCTGGTATCAAACATTCATATCTTATGTAAAACTAAAACCATCTGTTTCGTTAGTGTGAAAATTTGTTTTTGTCTTTAGTAAGTGGCAAAATTACACATATATTATGTATTTTGCCTACAAATTACTTTTAAATAAATTCATGATTTATTATCTTTAAATGTTTGATTTGCTTACCTATTTTATAGATCTATATACTTGGGGTTAAATTCAAATTTCTTGGGTAAAAAGATGATGCAAGTAGAAGTTTAAGAAGCTGTGGCCTAGCGGTGGTGGCGCACATCTTTAATCACAGTACTCAGGAGGCAGGGCAGGCAGACCTCAAAACAAACAAGCAAAGCCCCAAATCCAAAGCAGCAACGACAATGAAGCTGTGGTCTAGACCATGCCAAAGGAGGGTTTCCATCCCCTTGGCTCTCCCACCCTTTGCTGCAGCATCAATTGCTGGTACTTGGACATTCGCTTATGGTGTGTGCACCTAGCACATCACTGTATAATTACAAACAAAACAGAACCATTGTTATCACACCAACCGTGTGTTGGCTTTGAATGCTGTCCTGACCCTGGCCTGCTTCTCTTTCCCCTGTTCCTTAGAGATGTCCCCTCAGTCTCAGCCCAAATTGTGTTGAAGGTTTATCTTGTTCTGAGTTCAATTCATCCTCTTCCAGAACCCAGTGTGATCAGTGATATCAAGATAGATCCCAAGGGACCAGAGAATCAACTGCTCAGTTACCTGCCATGTAGTTTCCATCAGGCTTGGAGCTCTCATTGTCCCCCATTCCTTTCTTGCTTCTGAAGTCTTGCTTTCCCTGTCCCCACTAGCTGCAACATTCACTCTCACTTGCCGGCTAACATCTCTTTGTCCTCAGCCTCCTTCACTCAACGGGCAACATCTATGGCCTCCTGACCTGTGTTCTCTCCTACTGAGCTCCTGTCCCTCATATGCAGCTATTTATCCCATTACCTGCTGTACTTCATGGGACACAAGTGCTCAATAAAGATCCATGAACTGGTAAGAAGAGAGCGGGCTACAGAGCTGTGCTCAGAGAGTGCTGAGGGTTGTCTTTAGAAGACAATGCTTTTCTAGACAATTCAAAGTGATGGGGGAGGGGCAAAGCCTCATCACATGGCACTCACACCTAGGGTGTTGCCTTTGTATGGGGACTGGTCTAGTTGACCTTTGACTGGCTTCTCACTAGGTGGGTATGGCAGGGATGTTGGGACGCCACTTTGGTGGCTATAAGAAGATTATGGCATCTATATTTGGGCTGGGGGCTTCTCTCTCTCTTGGATCAGTTGCTTTAGAATCATGTACCAGCACCCTGTCAAGAAACAGGCCAATGGTGAAGGACTGATGCTATATAATAACTACAGGAGTAAAGCTTCTAGATAGTTACAGCTCTAACTAACATTTTGACCTCAGCCACTTGAGCCAGAGGTACCCAAATGCCACCGATCAGTATCTGCATCCCTGACCCAACAAGACTATTAAGTTAATGCTTACTGTCTTAATCAGTGAAAGTTTGGAGATATTTTGCTATGGAGAAATGGATGACTGGTTATCCTATGTCCTTCATGTTCTTTTTATGTGTACACAATGTGGGCACTTGGGGGTCTTACGGCAAGCCAGTAGACCAGGAGGGATAGCTATGGATCCTGAGAGGAGGCAATAGCCTGCAGAAGGCAAACAGCTTGCTGGTATTCTGTCTACCATTTAAAAGCTCAAAGCCGAGCTCTTCCCGACTCTGTCATGTCTCCAGAATATACTCCATGTATTTGTATCATTATCTTGAACTCCAAGCACTCATTCCTTCAACAGATACATATAGAGCAGTTCTCTGGACCAGCTGTGTGTAGGACAGGGCTTCTGCATTTCACTCCATGGACAGAGTTGTTACTTGTGCAGTTCTTTTCTTCTAGGTAACCCTGGAAGCATCTTGTGGTAGGACATCCTTTCTGCACTACTGGCTCCCCACAACACCCCACCCATAGTTCAGCATTCTGCAAATATTTAATAATCCAAGAAGAGGATATGAGGGATTGCTTGTCAGAGGAATTTTAAAGACATACACAAGAACAAAAGTATGGAAGGTAGAGAGCTATTTGATTGATTATCTAATATCTATTGCGTCTGGGGCAAGCAAGACCTTCCCACATGTTTGTGAACTTAGTCTTAAAGAATCTGCTTTTGGAGGTAAATATATTTCCCATTTCATCAGTGGGTAAGTCAAAGTTTAGGGAGGTGCTCATGGGGCACAGGAAAATTAATAGTCATCGCTAGTGGAATGGTCCAAACTAGCTGACTTAATCTGTATTCTTCTCTAGCAAAGATGGAGGCAAACAGAAGTTAGGTAAGGTGTTCACATTTGCACTTGTAAGCTACTATGTGGCAGAGCCAGCAGTAAAGTCCAGGAGTCTGAGTCTGGTGCTATTGCCTTTTCATTTTTTAACATTATTTATTTAGTGTGTGGATGGTAGATGGGGAGTGGTGTGCACTCATGCCATGGTGTATCTGTGGTAGTGAGAGGAGCATTTATGGGGTTAGTTCTTTTCTTCTACTGTGTGAGTTCTGGGTATGGGACAATTTAAGTTGTCAAGGTTGGATGTAAGTGATTTTACCTGCTTTGCCATGTCATTGGTCTTGGCATTGTTATTCTTAACACACCGGGAATGGTGGTGACAGAGCTGTAATTACAGTTATGGCATGGACCCAGCCCCACCCTACACTGCTTTCTTCTCCCTGCCCTGCTTCCTCCATCCACACAACCGAGTTCTATCCTTGGAAGCCAGCGACGCCTTCCAATATAACCACAGTTTACTTCTTTTGAGTCAGTCTTTGATTTCATTCAACTCCTTTTTTCCTCTTCAAAAATGAAGAAACCAGGGATGGAGAGTCCCATGTAATATCCAGACTCAGTGGCATACATCTGTAACTTTAATACTGGGGATGAGAGAACAGAGACAGGTAGATTCCTGGAGTTTGCTGGCCAGCCAGTCTATCTAATCAACCTGCAGGTCAGTGAGAGAGCCTAGTATCTAAAAATAAGGTCAACAGTGATTGATGGAGAAAGACATTCAACATTGACATCTGGCCTCTACATAGGAATACACATATACAGGTGTGTACATCATTTTTGTAACACATGCACACACAGAGAGAGACAGGCATGAGAGCGAGAGAGCGAGAGCGAGCGAGCGAGCGAGCGAGCGAGAGAGAGAGAGAGAGAGAGAGAGAGAGAGAGAGAGAGAGAGAGAGAGAGAGATCAAAACTCTTTTCTGGTCCATTCTATAGGAAGCCCTCCCCCTTGAGTCTATTAGCATCCTGATGTTGGGGACAGGTAGTGTGGAGGAAAGGATGAGAGAAGATGTAGGAATAAAATAATAGTTTTTAAAAAAATCCCCAAGTAACAAGGAGCTTCTCAACAGACTAAGTTTTGGGTTAAAATAAGTGAAGACTCCAGGTCCTGGGCCTTCCTTCCTTCCTTCCTTCCTTCCTTCCTTCCTTCCTTCCTTCCTTCCTTCCTTCCTTCCTCCCTCCCTCCCTCCCTCCCTCCCTCCCTCCCTCTCTCTCTCTCTCTCTCTCTCTCCAGTAGTCCAGTAGGAGAAAAATGTGAGCTGGCCAGTGATGAGGTTTGAGGTTTCCATTGGCATCAGTGGAGTTTAGAAACCCAGCGGCAGCTTCTCAATTCTGAATTAACATCCTTTCTTCCTGGGCACATGAAGGTCTGTTTCTCCCTTCTCCTCAGCCCCACACATGCTCTTTCATGCAAGTCAACAGTGCTGCCCCACAATAGGTGTGATTGCTTCCCATTACGTTGTCATGGAAACGCCCATTGCCATCTGGGGGTTGGGGAGGTGGCAGCGGAAACAAATGAGTGGCCAATCAGGCTTTCCAGGAAAGTCTTTTCGTAATACACTGCTCACTGCCAACTGTGGAGGCCCGATGGAATAAAGGGTGGTGTAGGAGGGTCCTGTTGATGGGCACAGTGTTGGTGCCCCCCCACTTAAACTGAGGGACAAAGATAGAGGGAACTTGGTGTTAACATGAATTTTCTGACTGACAGATTATTGATCTGCTTGAGGAGGGAGAAGAGCAAATGACCAGCTAGAAAGCACAGGATCGCAGTGTTTGAACTGTCACACGGAAGGAGCTAGCTGTTTTCTGTGCCAAAGGTTATAGACACCAGCGTCACCATGGTCCCTGCTTTTTTCCTGCACCCCTGGCAGGATCTCCAAGAGTCAGGAGACAGATGAGCTATGCTTTGAATACCCTGCATGAGCAGCTTTGTAGTCTTGGCTGGCAAGGGCTCTCGGCTTGTTTTTGTTTTCTCCTTTAGGACATGGGGGTCATAGCAGCATGTCCTTTACAGGCTTGTTGGGAGGCTGGAATGAGGTAATGGCAGGCTAGGTGTCTGCTCCTAATAGGCACTTGATGGGTTTCAGCCACCACTGTTACACCTGGACTCAGATCTCTGTGCTCTTGGCACAGTGCTCTGGTTCCAGCACTGGTTTCCCAGGTCCCTAATTCAAATCTATGCTCTGGGGAATAAACACAGCAGGAGTGAACTTCTGGTGTCCTGGGAGCCAGCTATAGGTTTTTCACTGCAAGGGACTACTTCCAAACTCGGCTACCTCCCTAAGAAACACAGCCACTGGCACCTTCTCTGAGTACATGGGGATTTGAGGGATGGCAGTTTGACATTCCTTCTTAGGATAGCTGTTGACTTCACACCACCTTCTATTGCATGGTCCCTTTAATTGCCTCAGAAAGGCCTGTGGATGGAATGAATGGGCTTTAGAGCGAGGCACAGCATCATCCTCAAGTGGACTGCAAGCTCATGTGAACATCTCTCAGACTTGCGCCTGTCCCAATACAGTTGCTCACCGAGGAGCCCCTGGGGCATTCTGATCAAGAGCAGGGAAGACAGCCAGCCAGATCAGGCAGCTGAGGTCGACTGGAGTAATTAATCCTAAAGGTTACCAGTGCCTGTCCTGCTGGGGAGCAGGAATCCAATTACCCACAGTGACAGCAGCTTAGTCCCCGGGGACACACTTGTCTGCAGGGTGGCCGGACAACCTGTCT